TTGTGTCTGCGCTGTCTCTCTGAAAGAGCATCACGACTTAGTGCCATTCTCCTGCTTTTTTCCCATAAACCCTGAATACAGTTTCTATTTAAATTCTCATCTAATAACCTGCTTGAATGCCTCAGTTGAAAGAACCTCAATCACGCTTCGAGGCTGCACATTATGCTTCCTAACTATGCGAAAAACTTCCTTCTCCTACCATGTTTTCTTTTGCAAACTACCTTATATTTGTGTTCTTTCATTATCAGTCCTCGTATGAAAGTGAACAATTTGTCCTTATCTATTCTGTCCAGCCCCTTTATAATTTTGAAACATTCTCTCAAATCTCCACTCAGCCTTTCCTCTCCAAGAAAACCTAATCTCAACTTCCTCAATGTATCTTCATAACCAAAGTTTTTCATCCCTAGAACCATTCTGTAAATTTCTTCAGCACTCTCCAAACCATTCCCATCCTTCCTAATGTGTGGTGCCCAGAGCTGTACACAATACTAAGGCTGAGGTCCAACTAGTAGCTTATTCGAGTTCAACATAACCTGTTTGCTCCTGTATTTAGTGCCACTACTAATAAAGCTGAGTATACAGTATGCTTTATAAACAACTTGTTGTACCTGTCCTACTACCTTTAATGACTTATGTACATAAGTACTCGGGTCTCTTTGCTTCTGTACGCCCATTAGGATTTCACCCTTTTATTTTATTACAGTATTTCCATGTTTTCTCTATCAATAAAATATCATATCACACTTATCTGCAATGAACTTTGTCCACCACCTGTCTGTCCACTTCACCAACTCGTCACTGTCCTTTTGTAATTTTGCATAGTCCTCCTCACATTTTACAATACTTCCAAGTTTTGTATCATTGCAAACTTGGAAATTGTCCTCACACACCAACGTCTAGATCAGTAATTATAAATCAAGAAAAGTAAACGTTACAAAACTGAAGTCTGGAGAACTCTAAGACAAACCTTCCTCCTGAAAAATATCTATTAATCATGAGTCTGTGTTTCCTAGCCCTTTTCCAGCTTTATGTCCATTCTGCTACTGTTCCATTTATTCCACAAGTTTTCTCACAAGTCTGTTTTGCAGAACTGTATCAAACGCCTTTTGGAAGTCCATGTGTACCACATCAACAGCGTTACCCTCATAACTGACTCAGTTACCTCTTCAAGAAAACTCTAGCAAGTTAGTTAAACATGACTTTCATTTACAAAATTTGTACTGGTGCTTCCTAATTAACTTAGAGTTTTCCATTAATTAGATCTGGAATAGTTATTTCAATACGTTTCCCCATCAGTTTAGTTAAACTGGTCTATAATTGCTGGGTTTATCCTGACAACTTTTAGAGCAAGACAGTTCCATTTGGAATTCTCGTCCTCTGGCACCAGTCCTGAGTCTAGGTTATTATTATTGCCAGTGCCTCTGCAATTTTCACTTGCACTTTGTTCAATATCCTTGGATATATCTCATTTGGTCCCAGTGACTTATCAATTTTAAGTACCAACAGTCTATCCAATGCCATCTGCTTAGCAGTTTTAAATTGTTCATGCGGCTGAGATTCCTCCTGTCACCTCCTGGGGAGTATCTCCATTCTTAGTAAAGACGGATACAAATTATTACTTTAATGCATTAGTCATGCCACCCACATCCATGTGTGTATTCTCTTGTTGATCCCTCTTCAGCCCTACTACTTCTTCTTTTAACACCTTTTCATTGTTATTACTCATTGAAGACTTTGGGATTCCCCTTTATGTTACCTGCTCATCTTTCATTCACAATCCTGTTTGCTAGTTTTTGCTTTTTCATTTCCCTTCTGAACCTTCTATTTTTGGTTTTGTTCTTAATTGTATTTTCTACCTCTCGCCTGTCACAAGCTCACATTTTCTTCTATATCTTAATCTCATTTTTCATCCAAGAAGCTCTGTGTTCATATACCCCATGCCTCCCTTTCACAGGAATGTACTTCAACTCCCCTCAAGCCATCTCTTCTTTGAATGTAGCCCATTATTCAGCAACAGCTCTCTTTTGCCAACCTTTGGTCCCAGGTGTTTCGAGCCCCACTTCATTCTTGCCCCATTGAAATTGGCACTTCCCCCAGTTAATTATTCTTCCTTGTGGTAGTCCTGTGTTGGTTTTGACTGTCATCCTAAACCTTATGATATAATGATCATTGCTCCCTAACTGGTCCACCACACACATTTGATTACTTTGATCCATCCCATTCTCATAAATCAGGTTCAGCAGTGCATCCTTTCTTGTTGGATTGAAAATTTATTGTTGTAGGAAATTCTCTTGAACAAAATCTAGGAATGCTTGGCCCTCACTGCCCCGACGCTTATTTGAACTGGGATATTGGTAGAGTAATTAAAGTCCTCATTATAACTGCTATATGATGTTTCCACCTCTCTTTAATTTACTTGCAGATTTGCTCCTCTTCTTGTTTTCCACTACTTGGTGGTCTTTAAACTACAGAATACAATATAATTGCGATCTTTTTATTCTTTTATTTTTATACAAATTGAGTCTGTACTTGAACTGAGTGAGACATCCTCTTTCTGCAGCACAATACTACTCCTGGTAACCTATTTTGCCACCCTCCTCTTTTTCTTTCATATCTTTTCTAAACACCCTGAAAACAGATATCTTTAAAATCTGGCCAACTATTCCTTGAGCCATGTCTCTGTTATAGCCACAACATTGTAATTCCACATAGCAATCTGTAACTCATCAATTTTATTAACTAAACTCTGTAGAGTCACATACACGCTGTGTGACCCTGATTTAGATTTCATTCTTTCTTTCTGTAATTACCCTTATTAGAATAGAAAGTAGCAAGTTAACGTTACCTGTTTTTCCAAGTGTTTTGGGCACCCGTGGTATTACTGTTTCATTTCCTGTCCTGGTTCCAAACACCTCAGTTGAGATAGTTTAAAGCCCCGAAAGCACACAAGCAAAACTTCACCACAAAGAACTCATCCCCAACTCTATTCAGGTGCATCCAGCTTGTATAAGGGTCATCTCCCCCAGAACCAGTCCCAGTCATCCAGAAATTTAAAGCCCTCCCTCCTTATAGTTACACAATCATCTCTCTTATCCTCCTACTTCTGTATTCCATTGCATGTAACTTTGAGAATAATCCAATAATGACAACTTTTCACAGCTGCTTCTAATTTTCTACCAATCTCCCTAAATGCTGATTGCAGGACAACATTTCTTTTTGTAATTATGTCACTAGTACCAATGTGAACCACACTGTCTGGTTGTTTGGGGTAGATGCTGAAAATTTGTCAATCTAGAAGTAGGGGACACCATGTAGGATTACCCATTTCAGACTAAAAGGAGAAAACTTTTTGTGCAGTTTGAGAGTCTGTGGAATTTTCTTCCCCAAAGAGCAATAGACAGCTGTACCATTGAATATTTTTAAGGCTGAGTTGGAAACATTCTTGATTGATAAAACTGTTTGGCACATACGCAAGAAAGTAGAGCCATAGTAATATAGGCCATTGTCATATCAATCATGGTGAAATCAAGTAGTGGAGCAGCCTGAAGGGCTTCTAAGTCATACTATTTGTAGGTAGCAACTATTTAATATTTTAACTGTAGAGCAGGCACCTTTCGACACCTTTTAGATTGCATCCACTGCAACTGTTCTGATGAACTTCCATTTGCAACCTCACCCCAAAGACATTTTATTTCTTTGTTTTATTTCTGAGGTAAATGCTTCATGCTGAAACTGCTGTCCACAAAATACAGCTGTTTTTAACTTTTTTAAACCATTTTCTGTATTGGCTTACTGTTTGACTATGTCTTGGGTAAAAGATGGAAACAATGAATTATACTCTTAGTACAGTTAGGTTGAACCTAATCTCATTCCATAAAAATTATGAGGGACTGGAAGATGCCTTTCATTGCAATGGAGCCAGGTCAAGAGTGTGGGCAGAGGAATCATTACATACAGCAACTTGCACTCCTGTCATGCAGTGCTGATAATTGGAGGGCCAAGAATGGAGTCACGAATTTGAGAATCGGGCTCCACCTATTCTTTTATATATCTGCATAGTCTCATTGACTGCACAAAAATCCAGCGCTATATGTTGGTTTGGGAGCACCAGTGAATGAATGCAAGTCTTTCCGCGTCGGCACTCTTCCTTCAAACAGCACAAATAAAAGAGTCCCATCGGAAAAAGCATTGTAGCACTACTGGGAGATGTTGATGCAAAAAGGCATCAACTAAGCAATTGATTAAAAGCCATCTGGAAAACTAAGCCCTGTCAGAAGAGAAATAGGGCATAAATTGTCTGAAAATTATTTTTTGTGTCATTTCACTGGGCTTTTCAAACAATTTTCTGTGTAAAGATCAGTCCCTATGGCCCTTGAAATGTGTTTAACTATTTATATATAATAATGATGGACAGATTATTCTGAGTAATTCATGCACAAATGTAAGGAAATTGTATTAATGAGAAAATTATGTCCCTACAAACTCATTTGTTTAGCACCTTCCAATCTGCTTTCTTTACTATAAACTGAGTCTGTGCTTCTCAGTACGATGAGAGGTCATGGACCTGAATTGATACCCCATGTTTTTTTGTCCATAACTGTTGCTTTACCTCTTGATTTGTTTTCAGAATTGTATTTTATTCCTAGCTCCAAAGTTATCACTGACATGCTTCTTCAGCTGTTTTAGGCATTTAAATACTGCAGGAGATTCTCTTTCTTCCTGCCCATCAGCTCTGCTATAAAATCCCCCACCGCCATCAGCCTACATCCTATGGGGTATGCTTCAAAATAGTGCTAGAATCCTTCCTTGGTTTAAGAAAAAGTGACGACATTAGATTACATAGCCCACAGGTCAAAGTGCAGCTCTGATGTACTTTCATTTGGGGCTTCACCCCAAAAGACAGTTTAGTTCTATTTCTGTGGTTCATGTCTAAAATGCTGTTCAGAAAATACAGATATTTATAGATGTTTTAACATTTATTCTTTGCATATTCTTTGTAGGAACATTTTGGCTCATTGACTGGCTTGACTGTGACTTGGATAGGAGATGGAAATAATGTGTTACACTCTTTCTTGTTGAGCGCTCCTAAACTTGGAATGCATCTTCGTGTTGCCACACCTAAGGTAACCTCTCTAGGATAAGACTAATCACAATATGGGAACTTTTAAATAAGTGCACACTGATTAAAAGATTACTGTTTGTACATTATTGGTATGGTGTGATACTGTATTAATTCCTGCAGGCACATTAGGAAAGCATTTGAACTGTTGAAAAAGTAATGGCTGCTACTCTCCCAGAAGGACTGAGAGATTGAACGTGCTGAAGGCATTATCCCAAATTTCATCAAATATGGAACTAACCCAAAATGCACATACAAAAGCATTTGAAATGTGTATATTCACATTATTATGGTTGCTAACAGATTAATAATCACTGACTGGTCAATAATCACACCCATTCTTTGTATAAATATTTTTGACAGCTAACAACATGGTGCTAATACATAGTTTCAAAACATGTTGTGATATTCTCAGGAGGAACAAGTAGTCTGTTAGCACTTTCTACCATTGTATACTCATGTCTAACTCCTTGCTAACCTTGTTAAAGTAAAGAAAATTATTTCATATGTCCTTTAAGAATCTAGCTGCAATCACCATTTCTTTTCTATTCATTATTTGGCAACAGGATCAGTTGTTCACTTTGTCACAATATTCTTTAGAGAAATTATGCTGGACCTAGAAAAGACATATCTAACTTGACAGACATGGCATCACCCTCATCTTAATTTGGTTGAAAAAATCAGTTTTATGTGCATCTTTGAAAGTGGAGTCACAGGTAGGTAGGATAGTGAAGAAGGCATTTGGTATGCTTGCATCTGTTTGTCAGTGCATTGCATATAAGAGTTGGGAGGTTGTGTTGAGGCTCTACAGGACATTGGTTAGGCCACTTTTGAAATACTGCGTGCAATTCTGGTTTCCTTGCTATAGGAAGGATGTTGTGAAACTTGAAAGGGTTCAGAAAAGATTTACAAGGATGTTGCCAGGCTTGGAGGGTTTGAGCTATAAGGAGATATTGAATAGGCTGGGGCTATTTTCCCTGGAGCATTGGAGGCTGAGGGGTGACCGTATAGAGGTTTATAAAATCATGAGGGGCATGGATAGGGTAAATAGGCAAGGTCTTTTCCCCAAAGTGGTGGAGCCTAATACTAGAGGGCATAGGTTTAAGGTGAGGGGAAAAAGATTTAAAAGGGACCTAAGGGGCAACTTTTCACAGAGAGGGTGGTGCATGAATGGAATGAGCTGTCCGAGGAAGTGGCAGAAGCTGGTACAGTTACAACATTTAAAAGGCATCTGGATGGGTATATGAATAGGAAGGATTTGCCAAATGCTGGCAAATGGGACTAGATTAATTTAGGACATCTGGTTGGCATGTTCGTTTTGGACCAAAGATTCGGTTTCTGTGCTGTACTTCTCTATGGCGCTATGACGCTATGCAAATATTTTGGAATAAAATAATTTCACCTTTAATTAAAGTGCTATATGCACACCAACAATATGCTGCAGATTTAACATTCGTATCATGAGCCATATCCTTGTTACGATTGTTTAATCTGCAATCCTATTCAGTACAAGTCAGTTTTCAAAGTTATTCTGCAGTTCAAGTATTGCCAGATACATTGAGGTAAATGTTTCTGTCCAACTGATGCTCAAGTGGCCAACTGGCAGCAATTGAGGTGGGGGAGTTGGAACCCATCTTCAATAGGGAGGGAATTGTTATGCTGTCAGCTGATGGTATTATTGGACAAATCGCAGAGTGAAACTGACTTGGTAGAGCACAACTTTTATTTTAGAAATTTGTTTACTGTGATGGTCAGTCACTGAATACATTCCCAAGAATCTGTGAACTGTACTTTTAACAGAAGAACATGAAAGGAAGTAAAATATGAACTATTTTACAGTGTACAAGAACCAGTTGAAATAGTCTTGTTACAAATTTCAGAAATCAAGTTTCAACATTTCTACCCTCAACAACAACCTTACAGATAACTAAGACTCAATGGAGGGTCACCTCTTCCTTCTTGTTCCTTGTTCAGCTGGCATGGTTGTATTTGGTTTCTTTCCAGAGCACCACTGCATTCACTTGTTGCTGTCCTTTTTAGTTGATGTCTCTTCATGAAATCCTTAAACTGCTAACTCAGCTCACTTACTCCTGAACATGTGCTCCTTAAAAACGTGCATTCAGTAGCCTCATAGGAGGCCTTTGATTTTGACACCTTAGGGCCTTCTGCTTCTGGAATGTTTCTTTTCAACCACTTAAGAATACTTCTCCAATTTTTCGCTCTCTTGTTTTCTAAAGCACTGAAAGTTCATCTAAAGGGGTCTTTTAAAATCTGATTTAAATGCACTTAAACAGATTTCCAGGCAACTCAATGTCACGCTCAGAACTACTCCAAAATTAAACCAAAACCATGTCCATCCTGTCTTAATCCACACAACATAGAACTAACAGGCAAACAACTAATAAATCAAACTTACAGCTACACATGGTTCTGTCCATTTTAAAATCCAAGTTTCCAAATAACAATATATCACAAACCTTCAGCTCCAATATGGTATTGACCCAACTTTTATTGTGGTGCCTGGAGAATCACTGTTGCTCCCAACTAAAGAATAATAAATTAAAACTCACATCTTCTTGAGAATGGTATAAACCCTTGTTGTCATTATGTACCTAAACATTTTGTTTAATTTTTCCTAATGGAAATGTAGGAAACATTAACCGAATGCCAAAGACTGATTAGTTCTGCTTTATTGCCCATTCTGCTCAAGCACAATTTATTCAAATGCTGCTATTTGCTGCTCTTCACTCCCTACATGAGAAGTGAATAACATACTCTTTACTGAAGTAGACAAATTTGAGTGACTGGTACCAAGTGACAAATTTCAATCTTTCTGGTCAGGATTATTTAGTTTGAGATAGCAGTCTTGTATAACCCTATTTATCAAAGTTTGCTATCAACTTATGAGGATCAGTTTCATACCTTTTGCAAACTCTTCTCTCGTTAGCCTGCAGCATCAATAGAAAAGATTTGTGAATTATGTTTTTTTTTTAAATAGGGCTTTGAACCTGATGCTACGGTTTCCCAGTTTGCCAAGTCATTTTCAGAAAAGGTAGGATTTCAAGTTTTGGTGGTCTTTCCATTTTGTGGATGAAGTTCTTTATTTCTAAGAGCTGTTTTTTCTTCAATTATTGTTGAAATTAGTGTGGAACCAAAATGTTTTTCACTAATGATCCCCTGGAAGCAGCTAGTGGAGCTAATGTTCTGGTAACAGATACTTGGATCAGCATGGGACAAGAAGAGGAGAAAGCAGAGAGACTGAAAGCATTTCATGGTTATCAAATCACCATGAAGGTAGGACCTGTGAAATCTGAAAAATATAAAGTACAAAGCATAATTGGCAATTTTCATAAGACCATGTATTTATTCCTTTGATTGCCTGCCTCCGTCAAATATGTTCCTCGCGTATGCATCCCAACTTTTCACCTCTGTTCTAAATTTGTTTTCCAATTCCTAAATTAACTAGAATTGATCTGATTTCACCAAGGTCTTGAACATTAGTTACTCATACTAATGTAATATTGTACTTGACCAGTGATATAGCCGTGTCTTCACAGATTTCTAAGCAGTATTGTTAACTGCAATATATTTACAATACAAAACTGGGAAAGAGGAACAAAGATTGGACCTGGTTGTGCTTTTTGCATAATTTGAACCATTCAAAAAGGTAAGCTTACAAAAGATGGAAAAATCATTTTGCAGCCTGAGCTTCAGGACCTCTAGCTGCTGTATGACCCCTGCAGTAATTTCTGAACCAACCAAAACAAGTGGCCATTGATTCAAATGCTGAATCACTGTCATTTGCTTGGCAACAGTGCACCTCCAGGGATACAATCTATTCTTCATGTCAGTTCCTAAAACCAGACAGGATCAAATGAACAGCATCTATAACACATGTGGAAATAGAAAGATGCACTGCATTGTTTGTTTGCACCACTAAGTAGTATGTGTAACTCACAGCAGCTGGTGAGGCAGAACAATTTTGCACACTGGAGCCACAACATCAGATTTGGGAAGCCCTTTGCTTGAGTTTTTGCATGATCTCTAACCAGATGTTCCCATTTGCCTATGTATCTCTGCTAGCTCATTAATGGTCAGGTCCAGAGGCTCATCATCTCCACTGGTCTCAGCTGGGGCCTGTTCTGCTCCGGTCCTCCAAATGTCAAGAATCTCTACCATTTCTTCCTCCTGTAGGTAGGAGCTCACATAGGGCTGTACTCTAACTTACCCAAAAAATGAGCTTACCCTAGTTTACCCAAAAAATGTTTTCTCTGAGCTGTGAGGCTGCACATGTGCACAGTGTTCCGATGTTCCATGTATGCAATCAATCTCTGGAAAGAAAATTAGACAGAGGCTGTTCTCCAGCCAAGATGAGAGTCTCTGTGCTGGTGAAGGCTGACGAAGAACATCTTGACGGTGCACCCTCTGTGGCTTGTGACTTTTTCTCCTCAGTGTGGTTCAAGTGGCTTGTTAGAGAGAGACCCTGGGGCTGGGGCTCTTTTTGTTTATACCTGTCTTGGCAGTGGGATGCAGAGGCCATATTTTTAAAAAATACAGTAATTTGTCAGTGTCGTGAACTTAATGCCCTTACCGAAGGTTTTATTAAGATGTTAATGCTCGATGTGAAGCTGGGAGTAGCAATTTGGAGGCTGCAGATATTGTTATGCAGAAGTGTAATCTGGCTCCTGTCTTTTTAAATCACTTCCCTTCATTCAGTTTCAACAAATAGTTTCATTTCTTTATAGCACACAGCTATCATACTTCAATTAAACATGTTGTTAGCAAAATCAAAATGAAGCAAACTGTTGCAAGGTTTCCCTGAGTGAATAAAAATGGAAACTTATTATCTACTAAAGCCAAGACAAAGTAATAAACGTGACATCAAGTACACACAAATATAGCTATAAAGTTCAAAAATGGAAAGTGTATCTGAAACAGACAGAGAGAAGAAAGGCCATGGACTTAAAAGTTCTTAACATTCTTGAGGTGTTATGCTTTAACCTGAATCCACTGTTGTTTAATAGCTGATCTATATACTTGGCAGTAGTGAAATCTGCAGATATCCTTGAGTTCTTGATGAATGGTTGTTTCTCTAATTTGCTCTTTAACTGGATACTATCTTGGGAGAGACTGGGATAAATGGGGAGTGAGAGAATTCCAGCTCTTGTTACAAATTCATTTTTGCTTCTCCCTTCTCTCCTCCTAAAGAGTAGCTATTGAAATATAGTTCGTTTATATATTTCCAAGTTTGGCTCCATTGTCTTCCCAAACTCAAAATATATCAAATTATTATACAGGTATGAATTAAAACAGGAGATGTGAATCTCTTGACACTGACTTAGTTGCCTGGTTTCAATACCTCTAAATAAAAGGGTAATTTCAATGCAGATGGTTTTGCTGGGAGGGCCTCAAACTGTAATCAGGTTTTCACAGCAGCCATTCTAAGCCCATGTTTGTCCATTTTAAAACCATATTAGCCCTGAAAATCTCATGCATCACAATCTGATGTTTGAAGTTAAAATTTGAAAGTCCATATTTATCACTCACGTAACATGAAGTGAAGCAAATACTATTCTTTTTTTACAGTGAACATTCTGTTACAAAGGTTAATATGAAATAACTGTACAAGGATTGAAATAGCAACATATACACATTCCACATTCACTCTCCATTCATTCTAAACTAGGTTCGTAACCTGCTTTGGTATTGACAAGCAGACCTGCTGCCTGAGATCTTTTGCCTTTCTATAATCCCTGCACCAGATTGAAGCATTTGCTTTTTACAATGTCTAGGGGTTTGGCTGGTGGTAATCTGAGGTTTGCTGTCTGTCGGGCATCTCACTTGCAATGAACTTGACATCAACCTGATTAGATTGAATTGGTTGAGATTTCAAACTTGGTTTGTTCCTCTGGTCTCCCAGTGGGTAACTGTTTTTACCACTGGAAGGCCAGATCCAGCAGAGGGGGCGGCACGGTGGTATACAGTCGGGAGGGAGTTGCGCTGGGAGTACCTCAACATTGACTTCAGACCCCATGAAGTCTCATGGCTTCAGGTTAAACATGGGCAAGGAAACCTCCTACTGATTACCATGGACTATCTTCCCACAGCTGATGAATCAGTACTCCTCCATGTTGAACAACACTGAGAGGAAACATTGAGGATGGTAAGGGCACAAAATGTACGCTGGGTGGGGGATTTCAATGTCCACCACAAAGAGTGGCTCAGCAGCAGTTCTACTGATCGAGCTGGTTGGATCCTAAAGGCCATAGCTGCTAAACTGGGTCTGTAGCAGGTGGTGAGGGAACCAACAAGAGGGAAAAACATACTTGACCTCATCCTTAGCAATCTGCCTGCTGCAGATGCATCTGTCGATGATGGTATCAGTAAGAGTTACCACTGCACAGTCCTGGGGGAGACAAAGTCCCACCTTCACATTGACAATAATGTCCATTGTGTTATGTGGCACTATCACTGTGCTAAATGGGATAGACTTCAAGCAGATCCAGAAACTCAAGACTGGGCATCCATGAGGCACTGTGGACCATCAACAGCAGCACAATCTGCAACCTTGTGGCCCAGCATATCCCCCATTCAATCATTACCATCAAGCCAGGGGATCGACCCTGGTTCAATGAAGAGTGCAGGAGGGCATGCCAAGGAGCAGCACCAGGAATACCTGAAGATGAGGTGTCAACCTGGTGAAGCTGCCAAAAAGGACTACTTGCATGCCAAACAGCATAAGCAGCAAGTGATAGACAGAGTTAAGTGATCCCACAACCGACAGATCAGATCTAAGCTCTGCAGTCCTGCCACATCCAGTAGTTAATGGTGGTGGACAATTAAACAACTCACTGAAGGAGGAGGCTCCACAATTATCCCCATCCTCAATGATGGAAGAGCCCAGCACATCAGTGCAAAAGACAAGGCTTTCACGGCAGTGTTCAGCTAGAAGTGCCGAGTGGATGATCCATCTCAGCCTCTTCCAGTGATCCCCAGCATTACAGGTGCTCGTCTTCAGCCAATGCAATTCACTCTTCATGATATCAAGAAACGTTTGGAGGCACTGGATACTGCAAAGGCTACGGGCCCTGACAATATTCTGGCAATAGTACTGAAGACATGCTCCAGAACTTGCTGCTCCCCTAGCCAAGCTGTTCCAGTACATTTATAACACTGGCATCTACACGACAATATGGAAAATTGTCCTGGTATATGCTGTACATAAAAAGCAAGACAAATCCAATCCAGCCGATTACCACCCCATGAATCTACTCTTGATCATCAGCAAACTGGAAGGTGACATCAACAGTATTATCAAGCAGCACCTGCTCAGCAATAACCTGCTCAGTTCACCCAAGGCCACTTAGCTCCTGACATCATAACCCCCAAGTTTCAAACATGGACAAAAGAGCTGAATTCCTGAGGTGAGGTGAGTGTGACAGCCCTTGACTTCAAGGCTGCATTCAACTGATTGTGGCATTAAGGACCCCTAGCAAAACTGGAATCAATGGGTATGGGGGGTGCAAACTCTCAGGCAGTTGGAGTCAGTAACTGGCACATAGGAAGATGGTTGTGGTTGTTGGAAGTCATTATCTCAGCTCCAGCACGTCACTGCAGGAATTCCTCAGGGTAGTGTCCTAGGCCCAACCATCTTCAGCTGCTTCATCAATGACCTTCCCTCTATCATAAGGTCAGGAGTGGAGATGTTCGCTGATGGTTGCACAATGTTCAGCACCATTTGTGACTCCTTAGATACTGAAGTATTTGAAGATGGACTGCAACAAGATCTGGACAATATCCAGGCTTGGGCTGACAAGTGGCAAGTAATATTTGTGCCACACAAATGCCAGGGAATGACCATCACCAGTAAGAGACTATCTAACTTTCATCCCTTGAATTCAATAATGTTACTATCATTGAATCCCCAACTATCAACATCCTGGGGTTACCATTGACCAGAAACTCAACTGGACTCGCCATATAAACATAGTGGATACAAGAGCAGATCAGGGGCTAGGAATACTGTGGCGAGATGATGCTCCCCTCCTGAACCCCCCCAGCCCTGCCAAAAAGCCTGTCCACCATCCACAAGGCACAAGTCAGGAGTGTGATGGAATACTCGCCATTTGCCTGGATGACTACAGCTCCAACAACATTCAAGAAGCTTGACACCATCCAGGACAAAGCAACCTGCTTGACTAGCACTACATCCACAAGCACCACTTCCTTCACCCCCAACATTCAGTAGCAACAGTGTGCACTATCTACAAGATGCACTGCAGAAATTCACCGAAGATCCTCAGACAGCACCTTCCAAACCCACAACCACTTTCATCTAGAAGGACAGGGCAGCAGATACATAGGAACACCACCACCTCCAAGGTCCCCTCCAAGCTACTTATTGCCCTAAATTGGAAATATATTGCCATTCCATCATCGCCGTCGCTGGGTCGAAATCCTGGCATTCCCCCTCTAGGGGTATTGTGGGCCGACCAATAGCAGGTAGACTGGAGCAGTCCAAGAAAGTAGCTCACCACCACCTTTTCAATGGCAGCAAGGGATGGGCAATAAATGCTGACCAAATAGCAGCTCCCACATCCCACAAATGAATTTAAAAAAAACAACTGTAGAGAGAGAAAGAGATTGAAGATTTAAAGTCTAATATGGCTCTTAAGAATTGAAAAAATGGGTGGAAAATGGCATTTTTATGCTACTCCTTTGTATTGGCAAGACCAAACGCAGATTGGGTAACCACTTTGCAGAACACATCTGCTCAGTCTGCAGGAATGAACCTGACCTTGCATCTTTTTGCAATTCCAATAAACCATTTGCTCCCGTGCTAGCATTTCCATCTATGACCTGTAACAGTGTTCCAGCAAAGCACAGGCAAGCTGGAGGATCAACAGCCAATTTTCCCCTTAGGCACCTTACAGCCTTGAGGACTCAAAGATTAAGTTCCACAACTTCTGAGTATGGCACCACAGTATTCCCAGCCAAGTCTTGTTTGTGTCTTGCTGGCTTTGCTCTTAGCAGGGAGGACCTATTTTCTCCCATTCACACATTACATTCACACCTATTTATCATATTATATTTCCTTCACCACCATCAGTTCTACCTGTTTGCAGTAGCTTTTCCTCTCCCTCTGTCAATAACGTTAAAAACGCCATTCTTAAGCTCCTTTCAGTTCTGAAGAGTCATATCAGACTCGAAGCGTTAATTCCATTTCTGTCACCACAGATGCAGCCAGACCTGTTGAGTTTCTCGAGCACGTTGTGTTTTAATACACAGTTTTAAATTATTTTTCAGAGAAACAATTGCAAAATGAGAAAAACATGTTTGCAAACACTGGGTGGTCTAGGTTTGTAATGTCTGGAAGTGTGGTGGAGGCAGGTTTAAATGAGGCATTCAAGAGGGTATTGGATGATTATTTAAATAGAAACAACATGCAGAGTTATGGGGAAAAGGCAGGAGTTTGGCACCAAGTCAAAATGCTCAGAGAGCTGGTGTAAACACTGGTGATTGGCTAAATGGCATCCCTTTGTACGGCACCAATTCTGCAGTTCTGTGATTGCACATGAGGCATCTGACTAAGATGTTTCACACCCAATCCCTTGTGATGGGCTATGCATGTGGCAGCTTTACAATGTGAACTCACACTCATAGGGACATGAAGCATTGAGGAGTCTGTAGTGCACATTCTAGCACAACACAGCAGATCATTTAGCCTTTTGCAGCATTGGAGCTGAATTCTCCTGAGCCACCCACTGTGGCTGACTTCTGCAATCACCTCTGACCAGGCTACTTTCCTCATTCAGAATGACCTCATGTTGCCATCCTTGGGGGAAAGAACTTCCCTGTTCTCCAGGACAGCCTTGAGGAGAACCACTAGGTAGATGTTACTAAAGTGCGCTGTTACTTTTTGCCTGGTCTTTGACATCGCCAGGAGTTGTGGGGGGTGATGAGAAAAGGTTGAATGATACTCCTGGATTGCAGATGCTGCCCAAGTACCTGTAAAATATGAATGCTGTAGTGTTGGAGCCTCGAAGGATCCAGTGAAGGGGGTAACTTCCTGCCCATAAACTTTGGCATTTTATCTGTGCGCACATATGTAATGAGCTGACAGGAACATAATCACGCAAGAAGACACAACCCACTGGAAGTACTTCTAGCTTTTAGGCCCACCTCCATACTTCATCTCAAAAAAAAAAACCATGTTCAGTTCCTGGGGTGCATTTTACTCCTTGCATTAATCAGTTTTGCAATAAGGACCAGCATTTTCCTTCATTAATCCTGCATTCAAGAGCTTTCCTGTTGTAACATACAAAGGTGAGGAAGAATATTGTTCTGAAATGTGAAACATACTACACAATTAAATTGAGAGAAAGGAGTGTGGAAGTTGCTGATTACCAAATAACACATTATTTATTCAAGTTTGTATGTGATAAGTAGCCATTTGATTTTGGTAAACTAACCTGTGGAACCATAAACCATTATGCATCATTAACCTCAAAAGAAATACGGCAAAAATTGGAGGTGGCAAGTGTATTCGATATTTATTTAATGCTTAGGAGTAAGAGCATTGTGGATACAGTACTTAAATACAGTCCACATCACCGATGTTGGCCACCATGGTGGTAATGTAATTTGCTTGTTATAAGCAGTGTATGACTTCTTAGCTCCTGGTTATAACAATGAAAGGACTCTGGTAGCTGGTGTGTGTAACTGCATATAGTGTTTATTTTAGAAAGTAAGGAATCTACAAAAGTAATTTAGTGTCTGTAAGGGTTAAAGAGCACATTCTGTAGCATTTTGTTTAGGAATGGCCAGCCTTGAACTCCCTTTTATAAGAGTTTTTGGGACTGGCAGGCTTAATCCAACAAAGGGCTCAAATGGTTTCATAAACAGTTTGTCATTCAAAACCTTTTATGGCATTTTCAGTAAGTTATTTCAGTTGCTATGTACAACGGCAATTCCGAACGGTTGCTGCCCAAACTAGCTTAATACATTATAAGCAGTGCTTTTTTTTATATAACTAACTTCTGTGGGTATGACTCATTGTAGTGCCATTTTCTTGTTGGAAGCCGTCCATAGGAAGTAGGCAAAAGTCAAAACAAATTCTGCATTAAAACTGGATGGGTGTATTCAATAATTTATGCTTTTTATGTTATTACAGACTGGACAGTATGCTGCACCTAATTGGGTATTCCTGCATTGTTTGCCACGAAAACCAGAAGAAGTTGATGATGAAGTATTTTACTCCACAAAATCTCTGGTCTTCCAAGAAGCTGAAAATAGAAAATGGACAATTATGGTAAGAAAATGAGAATATTGGATGTATAACTTGTGAAGGCTACAGCTGTAATAAGAACAGAAGTCACCATGGTCAAACAGTAAAGCTTCTTGAAATATTTCTAACCACATACAAGAACATGAAGTTGGGATTATGTTCAGCATGAACTGTTTGGGCCAAAGGGTCTGTTTCCATGCTGTATGACTCTGAACTGTAAGTTGCTGAATGTATTGAAAATCATTAAATTTTGGAAATACAATATCATGTAATGAGCTAAAATAAGGTTACTTTTCTTCCAATGTGATTTTTTTGAAACTTACTGCTATCATCCATTTGCCTATCAGTCGGTGCAGTTAATTTATACGAGCTGATTTATTATTGTAATATTTAACAGATCAAATGTGTTCCATTTGATTAAGAATCCTAGTTTTATTTAATGGATCATTTATATTGCAGTTTCTAGATTAACTCAATTTAGTTTTCACAAGTTGTGCCTTAATTGCTTTGAAGTTGCCGACCTGGGAATGATTCAAAATTTGGCATATGGTGCGTGATCACCTCTAACAGCTAGCTTTGTAGATCATGGGCTTTGCACCAGTTGCAGTGGAACTGTAACCATGCAATACCATGTTTTAAAAATTTAATTTTATACTTTATAAAATGACTTTGTTTGTTTGTCGGACCTCTTTTACAATTCTAAAATTAGGAAGCTACACAACAAGAGATTTAATTGTTTCATAACATTAAACATTCACAGCAGCAATCCAAAATAGATGTGCAGATGTTCAATTATGCTTTAAGGTATATAGGCACAAAGTCAGAAGCACAGGCCAGTACACAGTTTGTCCATATTATTTCATCACTTGGGACTACAGCAGATACAAGCATCAAACGATTATTTTCCGTGAAATGGAAGCTTAAGAGAGTTGTAGTTGTGCTAATAGCAGTGGAATTTTAATTCAGCATTCTTTATTGGCACACAATTTTTAGCATCAGGAGTCTGAAACTTTATTTGATTCAGCAGCTATGAGTATAATCTATAGTAGATTCATAAATACTACAACTAATAGTTAAAATGTTTTAAGTGATTATAATATTAGGAAAGAACAGCAACATGTTTCCTGCTCCTCTCATGCAACACAAAAATGCAACAACTTTTGTCAAGCTGGAAACTCCAAGAGTTACTAATGTAAGGAAAAAATACATGTTCAAACCCCTTAAGCTTTTACATTTTTAACATGCTTTCTGATTTTAGGATTAAATCTGTTAATTACAGAAGGAGAATTAATTACAAAATTAAGGCTAAATCTGATGGCACGATTGTTGATTTAATGAAGTGTTTTGTGATTTGTGCAACTGCTTTCTGCATTGACCTAGGAAGCACATCATCCACTCTGTACCATCAACCATTTAAAACACTTCAATAACCTTTGCCACAAAAAATAGTTCATTGGAGTTCTGTGCGAGAGCAGATTCTGATAATGGAACAAATGATGCCTGCCAGTTCATTTTAGCATTATACAACTTGTCGTTTCCCAAACTATTCTGTTTTATTTCTTTATTCATTCACGGGATGAAGGCGTCGCTTGTGAGGCAAGATTTATTGCCCATCCCCAATTGCCCAGAGGGCAGTTAAGAGTCAGCCACATTACTCTGGGCTCTGGAGTCACATGTAGGCCAGACCAGGTAAGGATGGCAGTTTCCTTCCCTAAAGGACATTAATGAACCAGATGGGTTTTTCCGACAATTGACAATGGATTTGTGGTCATCATCAGACTCTTAATTCCAGATATTGATTGAATTCAAATTCCACCATCTGCCGTGGTGGAATTCAAACCTGAGTCCCAGAACATTATCTGCGTCTCTGGATTAACAGTCCAGCAATAATACCACTAGGCCATTGCCTCCCCATTTGCATTCAATACAGCTAATTTCACTTTTTGTTTCTGTACTTGAGAATAAATTAAAACCTCAATGAAAAAGGTTAAGTGTAAACAACTTAAAATTACTCAAACAAAAACAGAAATTGCTGGAAAATCTCAACAGGTCTGGCAGCATCTGTGGAGAGAAATCAGAGCTAACATTGAGTCCAGTGACCCTTCAGAACTAATTACTCAAATTGTGCTCACAAGCAGGAGTTTCCCTTCCCATTTAATTAAGTATTTAATGAAGTACCATGCCATAAAATGGCTGTCTCCATTTTGTTCCCTCAATTTCCATGCTAGTGCATCTCTCTATCTTTGTAATTTCCTTTAGTGCTATAACACAGCAGAACTGTGTTCCTCCAATTCAGTTTTCTTTGTACATCCCTGATTTATTTCACCCCACAAGTGATGATCATTCCTTCAACTGTCTCATTTCTGAGCAGTGTATTTTCTGCTTTATACCTCTTGGCTTCAATACCACCATCCTTCTTTCAAAAGGTCCTGAAATCCCACCAGTTTAGCAAAATTTCTGGTCACCTGTTTTAATATCGATAATGTTCCTGTGAAGCTCCATCAGACATTTTGCTACTTTTATAGGTTCTATAATGTTAACTGTTACAGGCAATATATAAATGCCAAGTGTCAGTAAGGATAATGATGAAGATGAAGAAATGGAATATGAATAGTCATTTGGTGGTACAGAATTTGAGTATTGCTGAAAAAAGGTACTTTTAGCTCATGTTGTACATTTTGCAGTCATTGGGGCACATGCAAGTATCCCAACATAAAGGAAAACAACATTTTATACCATTTGAGAAGAGAGTACTGATCGGTTAGCATGTGGACCCTGGTTGCTAGATGCATCAGTTAGATGATGGATAACAGTTAACCACCAAGTTTTGTTTAAATTTCACCAGGCAGGTTGACTCTGATTTGCTCAAGACATTGCTGTTAGAAATGAACCAGAGATAGACTGTCGCCTAGTTTGTTAAATTGGAAGCAAGGGCAATATGTAATAATGTTCTTTCCATCTGGGAAGATTGGCAATTGGGCATGCAATGCTGCACACATATACGCACTGGAAGCTACCTATATTAATCCACAAGGCCCCATTATCTGCAAACAGAAAGTACATGTGCATGAATCCCAGTCAGGTATGTAGTCTGCAATGGATCTAACTAGTATTTTTTTATACTCGTATGGCACCTTACCATCCTAACAGACTCCTAGTGCTAAAAATATTAGCTCGTGTCAGTAACAGATTCATGTAGATGACCTCCACAGGAGTCCAGCATTGTACAACTGAAAATTTTTTATAGTTTTAACATGAATTACCTCTTGTTTGTGTTTTCTTTAAACAGGGTGCAATGGTAAGCATGCTAACGGATTATACTCCAAAGAGCTCCAAGCCAAAATTCTGAATCCTTTCCTCCAGCCAACATCAAGATGCAATGGAAGGATAATACGAAAAGCTTCCAGAAATGTTTTAACTCAACAATTTGTTGTTACATAATTATATTACAACATTTCACTACACTATGATGACAGTATGGCTAATTAGCAGTAATCAAGAAGAAATTAATAATTCACGAGACCCTTTTGATCAATGAAGAAAGACAAATATGATGTACAAGCATCTCATGTTATCATTCTATATCCTGTCCTACTCAACATCCACAATACAAGCCTAAAGATAATAAAAAAAGCCAGTGAATGTGTAACTATACAATTCTTTGATCTAGTTATGTATATTTTGTCAGCATATATTGTTTAGAGTAAAGAAACATTTAGTGAACCGTCTCATCATCTTATTGAGATACAGTCAGTTAAGTCAGTTAAGGGACACTGTCTAAGGATATGGGCCATGCCACTCAGGACTGAGAATGAGGAAAAATTTACCCAGAGAGTGATGAGACTGTGGAAATTTCTGCCACAAAAAACAGTTGAAGCCAAAATATTTGATGTTTCCAAGAAGGAGTTAGATATAGTTCTGAGGTCAAAAGGGATCAAAGGGTATAGGGATATAAAATGGGAACAAGGTGCTGAGTTAGATTATCAGTCATGATCATGTTGAATGGTGGAACAGGCTTTAAGGGCTGAATGGCCTACTCCTCCTATTTTCTATACTGGTATATTTTGTCTGTCTCTCTGTTACCTTTGTTATTCACATTTATTCATGAGAATTATTAATTAGAAGCAGAATGGAAATGTATATTTTATGTAAGACATTCTCTCTGATAGCATGACTTTACGGTCAGTATCAGTCAATAGAGTCAGCATTAGTTACATTTGCATGGATCCACAGGGATGAATTTTCCAATTGCAAGTTCTAAGCAGGGATCCTTGCCCACTCAAGTCACCTATACTAAAATGGTGTGCAAAATCCACGATTTTCCATTCATTAATGTTAATGGATTGAAAAGACATACAATTTCCAAAGGCTGGGAAAGTGTAATCATAAAATCCACCATGTCTGTTTGTCAAAAGTAATTAAAAAAGAAATAATCTTACATTAAGTCAGCCACTGATTCACCATGTACGTTCAACCTGCTTGTGGTGTCTAGGATGTTAGCTGCTAAAGTACTGGCTCAAAAACTTTCTGTTCATCTTTTGGGATTCAAGTTCTCATAACTATCATTTTTTTCACTTTCGGCACTTTGATGGATTATATTATTTTGCTGAATGTCTAAGGATCTAGAACATTGCATTCATCATATTAGGTAATGGCCGATTGTATTGTGTTTCCAACATTTGATATGATGATTCTGGACAAGAATTCAAAAGTATCAAATGGAACATACTAAGACATGTCTGTTCCAATTGTTAATTCATAAAAGTAGCAAGCAATTCTAGTCATGGATAACAAGGTGAAGAGCTGGATGAACACAGCAGGCCAAGCAGCATCAGAGGAGCAGGAAAGCTGACGTTTCGGGCCTGGACCCTTCAGAAAA